GAAGGGGGGCAAAAACTCTTTAGCCCCAGGCCTGTCGGAACAGCCAGGTTTTAAGAGCTTTGCGGAAGGCCTGGAGGGTGGTGAGGGTTTGATTTGGGTGATGTGCAGGGTTTGATTTGGGTGATGTGCTGCAGTCCAAATAAGCCTCCTCCCAATTCCTGCATTATCTTACCCCAGGGGCATCAAACTCAATTTCATTGAGGGCTGCATCAGTGGTTGACCTTGGGGGCCTGGGTGGGCAGGCCAGCTTGACACCACTCACTGGGAATGGCTGACTGGGTGGGCGTGGCGAGCTTGACACCCCCCCCCCCCAAACTGCTGGCATGTTTCCTCTTTGCATTGGGTAGTCCGGTCTGAAGCCACGCTGGCCCGATGTTGCCTCTTCGCATCGGGTAGACCGGGCTGAAGCCACGTAGGCCAACCCCTTATATTTTCTAAGGCGGCCCCGCTGGCTGGATCTGACCCCATCGTGGGCTGCATCTGGCGCATGGGCCTTGTGTATGTCACCCCTGCCTTTACCTGATGAACGAAGGCGAATATATATATGTCCCAGGGTTATATAGGATCCAGTCTGGATAGCAGACCCAGATTGGATCCTGTCATACTCTGGTTCTTAAAAGAATCAAAAGAGGATCCGCTTCCCGTTTGTGCCTCGCCCGCTTCCCGCTGTGTTCCTCCTCGTAGCCGGAGTCCTCTCTCCCAAGCCGCTCACGAGACCTTCTGTCCTTGTCCTCCTCTTCCAGGCCCCCAAATTCCCCGGCTCCCCTGACTGGAGAACAGCCGGCCCAGAGGCTCGTCCTGAGGCTTCGGCTTCATCCGCCGCTCCCCCTTCCTCCTCTTCGCTGAGTCCGATGCCGTCAAACCCCGGGGAGGGCTCCCGAAGTGGCGCTTCCACTCTGCCCCCAGCAGCCGCCCCTACAACCGATGGCCTTGAGCCTAAGGAGGGTCCAGGTGGGAAGAAAGTGAAGGTCCGGCCTCCCCCTCTGAAGAAAACCTTCGATTCTGTCGACAAGTGAGTGACGGGGAGGCGAGCGGGGACAGTGTCTGTGGCCAAAGTCCTAAAGATTCCCATTACTTTATTATTATTATTATTTTGGGGGGGAGCTTCTTTGTGACTTTCTCCTGGTGGTGATTTGCAGCTGTAGAGAAGGTGCAGCTCATCCAGCTGTGTTGTCTCTCCTCATTGGCCAGTCAGGCCAGGCTTGGTGGGGTTCTAAGAGTGCCTTCTGCTTAAATTCAAATGACAGTGACCTTGGGGATGAACTGTGAGCTCCTGTTAAAAACTCTTCCTCGAATCCTCTATGGATGGTCCATAGTTCCCTCACTGGCCTTAGAAGCAGGGGTGCATAGCTGGCTGGGGAATTCTGGGAGTTGAAGTCCACAAGTCTCAAAAGTTCCCAAGTTTAGACACCCCTGCTTCGAGTCTCTTGCACAGCGCAAGACCAACAGAATATTTGCAAGACATGATCCCTTTTCATCAGAGAACAGGCCCAGGTGGGCTCAGAGGAAAGGCGAAGAGAGTCTGGGGGGGGGGGGGATATATAAAAACTTAAAGAGAGAGAGAGAGTCATTCCTACATGTTAATTTATTTATTTTTGTTTTGTTTACTTTTTATTTATTTTATGATTTGTATACCAACTTTCGTATTTTTGTAAATAACTCAAGGTGATGAATACACAATACTCCTTCCTCCTCCTCCTCCTATTTTCCCCACAACCACCACCACCACCCTGTGAGGTGGGTTGGACTGAGAAAGTGACTGGTTCTCACGGCTGAAGGCCGGACTAGAACTCACAATCTTCCGCCTTCTAGCCTGGTGCCTTAACCACTGGACTATTATTGCCTGGGCAACAACCTAGTATTGGGAAGATCCCTAACATGGGCAGTTTTTACATTGGCGCATAATTCGGCTGCATCCACAGGCTTTCTTGGAAGCGCCTTTTAACACGCTGAAACAAGCTCCCCACTGTGTCCCAGGGGCCGTATTTCCTTGCAGAATAGAGGCTGTTACCCGTATAATAGCAATAGCACTTAAGATAGATAGAGAGATAGATACTTTATTTGTATGCCGCCCTTTTCCCTGAGGGGACTCAGGGTGGCTCACAATTCAGGGGGAGGGAGGACAAACAAGTTACAAACACGAAAACAATACATCATTAAAAGAGCACAACAGTCATACTATTCGAGTGGGGTTGAAATCTTTAGCCCCAGGCCTGTCGGGACAGCCAGGA